TAGACTTCGGGGAATAGTGACGTCACCGTTCGTGTTCGAAGTCTGCGAGGTTTGGGGTCCAAGTTAGATACGGGTGCGACATTTCATAGTTATTAATTTATAAATGTATAATATTTATAAATGTTTAAGAGAATTTTTTGCAGCTATTTGTACTAATTATTTCAGTTGAAATGTTAATTATACACAGTTTTATAATAATCTAATATATATAATTCTCTTACGTGGCTCCCAAATTTTGGCTGTATTTCTTTTCCACCGGTGGCAACAGTTTTCATTCTTAAAGAAGTACTTTGTACAACTAAATAAGATTCTTTTTACAACACTTAAATATTTTCTTTATTTTCTTCATATATACAGAGAGCAGTCGGCGAAGAATTCTGTTAGGTTAAAAAACATTTCGCTGAAAAAATAACGAATTCTAAAAGAAATAAAAACAAACAACTTAAAAAATAAAAATGCTGTTGCCAGCCATAGAATTTTTTGAAAGTTAACTTAGCTACATAAATTAAGATGACATAGAAGCGCAACCAGATCAAAATTATGATACCTGAGTGCTTGACGCAACAAATCCTTCAATTCTATAAGTGTTGTATCACCAAATGCCCAGATAATATTGAAATGAAGAGGTTTAGAATTTTCTACAGTGAAAAGTTTTCGGAGCTTCAGTATTCAAAAAAGTATACAAAAGCTAGATGTTAAGAACGTATCCAATGCGCGAGCAAAGCGAGCATTGGATTGCGAAGCAATCCAAAATAAACTGCGAAAGCAGTTCTGGGGGTTGGCGAGCGCCAGCGAGCAGTGTGCGAAGATTCCTAGTAATCGTAAAATTCATTGAACAATTAAGTATTACATTTTAAAATGCAAGTAGAATTTAACAATTATTTCATTTTATAATTGTAAAAGGATAGATAAGTAACTTCGTCATAAAGTTTTACATGATACGAGAAAATTATACGATTGCTTTATAATGAAAGAAAACCAATTTAAGTTTCATGCTTCTTGCGGAAAACAAAAGAAAATGAAATTTTTTCCTGACATCGGTGTTAGCGATTAGACAGTTTTTTACTATTAAATCAATATTGCTCCCTTTTAAATAAAAATGCATTTTTCTCCGAAAAAAAATTACTTTTAAAAAAATTACTTATTACTTAAAATTACTTAAAAAAATTTTTAATTATGTTTTTAATTACTTAATTCATTTAACAGTATTAAGGAATCTACAAATATATGTTACATATGATTGTTGCAGAATAACTTGTACGAAATATGGATGGTGTTTTCAATAGAAATGTAACTGAAACAGTAACCCGGAAATTTAGGCATTCCCGAGCTTGCAGCGCTCCCTAGTGTAGAAAACACCATCCATATGTAAATAAAATATATTTTTAAAATTGCGCATTATCTATTGATTGCATTTATTATTCTAATACTGAAAGAGTATCAAGGTATCTATGACCTCTATAATTAATGAAGTATTTACGGACTTTTATATATATATTAAGGAATTGAATAAATTTTTCACGAAGTTTAAGATCGTATCTCATTGCAAAAAAAGTAATTTAATAAATATTTTTTTTGCAATAAATGCTTCTAGTAATGAAACAAACGCTTTCAAACTTAATTTTTTATATAATTTCACTCAAACTTGTTTTAAGACTCATGAGTCTGCAGGTAAACTCCAGATTTTCAGTCCGAACTGATAGAATAAAAAACACAGTCAAAACTCACATAATGACTTACAATTGTTTTCTTAATTTACTTTTAATCAATTCCCATTAAATCAGATACAATTAGATATCATTTATATGAAATCAGATATTTTGATAGATTCAGATTAAGTTTAAGATGAATGAATATTATTCAAAGTTTAAAACTAGTGACATAGGTCATTGAAGAAAAATCCCTTCATTTGTACATTTTTTCCCTCTTGAAATTACTGCTCATATTTGTTTTTTCACTAGCAAATTTCCGGATACTTTAAAATTTTAAAAATATCGATGTTTCATTTGCAAGAAATTATTACTTTAAAGCTTGATAAAATTTTTGAATACTGTAATTTTTTTTTCTAGTTAATAATATATCTTTGCTAATTTCTAGAAAAAATTCTTCATAAAAAGTTTACATTATTCTTCTATCAAGATTGATTTAATAGAGAATATCACTAAAATAAAACAGGTTACGTTTTCTTACAATAAAAGTTAAATCGAATTAATTCTTCGAAATAGATTTCCAATAAAACATGGCATTAAAATAATACGTTATTTTCTGTGATTGGTTCATTAATAAAATATTTTTATTTCTTCGTAAACACAATTCTTGTAAAAAAAAAAATTTGAAAATTAAATCTGTTATGTCAAAAAATATAAGATCGTTTTATAAAATATAAATTATTGCTTTTAATAAATTATAAATACAGTGTATTTGTAAAGTGATCCTAGCAATAAAAGTGTTTGTTTTCTTTTTTAATTATCAACGAAATAATGAGTTTTTTTTACAGCAATTTATTCATCACACACTTGCAAATTAATTTTTAGCGTTATTCTGTAAGCTCGTGTTAACACGAGCTTACAGAATAACGCAAGTTGCATGAAAAAAGTTTTCCTTCATTCAGGTTAAGAAAAAAAAAATATATATATATATATAGGGGAGAGTTGGGTAGCACCGCCCAGCGGGTACCTCCGCCCACAGTCAATTTCATGTGTATAGAATATTTTTTCAAGTCAATGGGCCATCGGACATTAATTGTTATATTAAAAAAAGATTATTTTCAAAGTTTCAAGTATTTATGCAGCTGGTAACATGGTAAGCAATAGTTTTGAAAATATGTTGAATACAGAAGTCATGAAATTAAGAAAAATTGATTGAATGTTTCGATTAAACTTCATTTTAATACTAAAAAAATAATTTTTTTTATACATACAGCATTAAAGTATGTAGTCTTAAGTTTAATTTGCACAAAGAAAGAAGTTTGTATGTAAAAAATTGTTCTAGTAATTACAAATTTACAAAAAAATTGGATTTCGGGTAGCCCCGCCCAGTTACAAAAATTGTGTTTTTTGGCTATTTTTTCAGGTGTAAATGAGAATGACCAATGTATTGACAATAGATAAACCTTATTTATCATTTTTATCACAAAATTATCTTATTTATTACATATTTATATACTTTTAGTGAATTCTATCATTTAATAACAACAAATGTCATACCTTTTATCATTATTAATGTATATTAATATATTATAATATTAATATATATTTATATTAAATATTTAATGAAAATAATTTAATTTAAGTAACAATAATTAATAACAATAGTTGTTTTTCAATATAAACTTATTTGGTTGATCTCTTCTTATAAAC